ACCGGGACAGTTCCTCAAACCACTCTTGCACAGGGGTTGTTGGCTGAGATCAGCTCAGAGCGACATGGTGTCAAGCATATGTTGATTGATCACTTTAAGAAGGACCATGGAATGAAAGTTGGATCTACCATGAGATTTGCTATTGAGGACTTGGTTTTTAAGCTCTTTGGAGAGGGACCTTCTGTAAGTAAGACTCCTACGCATACACCTTTACCTAGTCCTTCTATCACAGCTCCTACACACAATAAGGTGAAAGAACATATACAGAGAGATATGGATGGCATGGGCCTTGGAAACTGCATGCAAAATGCAGAGGACGATGTCCCTACAGCAAGCAAGTCAATCTCCCACGATTTAGATGTCGTAGCACAGAACACCATGAGATTAGACACACCTACGACTAGTACAATGAGATCAGATGCACCCGCTTTTCGCCCAACATTCAGTGCACCACCATCCGAACAGTACTTATCACCAAAGCAGGCTCCTACACGCAGGCGAGACCCCTCTCCAACGAGCGAGCCAGACATCGCAGACTACTATGATCCGGAAATGTTTCAAACCAGACGCATGACCCGATCAATGTCTATGTACTACCACCCGAAGATTTACCCTCGGGAATACCCTTAAGTACCTTTCATTTGTTTTTGTTCGTATCTTGTTTACTGTGATTGCATTTTATCTTCAGATATTTGTTACAATTTACATTCGCTGGAGGTCAGGTCCATGCCCCCCTCCTCTCTTTGTTTAAAAAAAAAAAAAAAAAAAAAAAAAAATAGGGAAAAGGGTTTTTTTTAAAAAAAAAAAAAAAAAAAAAAAAAATCTGGCAAAGCGGGGAATGGAAATCCCACAAATAACTTTCAAACTATCGGAGTCTTATAAGGGGCCTCAGATAAATAAGGTCTTACAACTAGGCTTGATGCTAGTGAGAAGTGAGGAATAATCATCTTGAGAAGCCAGGGATAAACATTTTGCAAAGCGGGGAATAGACATCCTGCTAATCTCAAACTATCGAAGTCTTATAAGCAGTCTCAGATAGATGAGGTCTTACAGCTAGGCTTGACGATAGTGAGAAGCGAGGAATAAGCATCTCGTGAAGTCAGGGATAAACATCTGGCAAAGTGGAGAATAGACATCCCGCTAATCTCAAACTGTCGGAGTCTTATAAGCAGCCTCAGATAGATAAGGTCTTACAGCCATGCTTGACGATAGTGAGAAGTGAGGAATAAACATCTCACGAAGCCAGTGATAAATATTTGGCAAAGCCGGGAATAAACATCCTGCTAATCTCAGACTATCGGAGTCTTATAAGCGATCTCGGATAGATGAGGTCTTACAGTTAAGCTCAACTATAGTGAGAAATAAACATCTCTTAAAGTCAGGGATGAACATCTGGCAATGCGGGGAATAAACATCGTGTTAATTTCAAACTATAGAAGTCTTATAATCGGCCTCGGATAGATGAGGTCTTATAGCTAGGTTCGACGATAGTAAGAAGTAAAGAATAAGCATCTCGCGAAGCTAGGGATAAACATCAGGCAAAGCGAGGAATAGACATCCTGCTAATCTCAAACTATCGGAGTCTTGTAAGAGGCTTCGGATAAATGAGGTCTTATAACTAGGCTCGAGGATAGTGAGAAGTGAGGAATAAGCATCTCGTGAAGCTAGGGATAAACATCGTGCAAAGCGGAGAATAGACATCTGCTAATCTCAAACTATTAGAGTCTTAAAAGCAGCCTTGGATAGATGAGGTCTTACAACTAGGCTTGACGATAGTGAGAAGCGAAGAATAAGCATCTCGTGAAGCCAAGGATAAACATCTGGCAAAGCGGAGAATAGACATCCCGCTAATCTCAAACTATCGGAGTCTTATAAGTGGCCTCAAATAGATAAGGTCTTACAGCTAGGCTTGACGATAGTAAGAAACAAGGATTAAACATCTCGCGAAGTTAGGGATAAACATCTAGCAAAGCCGGGAGTAAACATCCTGCTAATGTCAGACTATCGGAGTCTTATAAGCGGTCTCGGATAGATGAGGTCTTACAGTTAAACTCGACGATAGTGAGAAGTGAGAAATAAACATCTCGTAAAGTCAGGGATGAACATCTGGCAAAGCGGGGAATAAACATCCCCTTAATTGCAAACTATTGGAGTCTTATAATCGGCCTCGGATAGATGAGGTCTTACAGCTAGGCTCGACAATAGTAAGAAGCGAGGAATAAGCATCTCACGAAGCCATGGATAAACATCTGGAAAAGTGGGGAATAGACATCCTGCTAATCTCAAACTATCGGAGTCTTATAAGCAACCTCGAATAAATGAGGTCTTATAGCTAGGCTTGACGACAGTGAGAAGCAAGGAATAAGCATTTCGCGAAGCCAGGGATAAACATCTGGCAAAGTGGGAAACAGACATCCCACTAATCTTAAACTATCGGAGTCTTATAAGCGGCCTCAGTTAGATGAGGTCTAACAACTAGGCTTGACGATAGTGAGAAGTGAGGAATAGGCATCTCGCAAAGCCAGGGATAAACATCTCGCAAAGCAGGAAATAGACATCCCGCTAATAACAAACTATCGGAGTCTTATAAGTAGCCTCGATAAATGAGGTTTTACAGCTAGGCTCGAAGATAGTAAGAAGAGAGGAATAAGCATCTCACGAAGCAAAGGGGATAAACATCTGGCAAAGCGAAGAATAAACATCCCGCTAATCTCAAACTATCAAAGTCTTATAAGTGGCCTCAGTTAAATGAGGTCTTACAGCTAGGCTCGACGATAGTGAAAAGCGAGGAATAAGCATCTCGCGAAGCCAGGGATAAACATCTGGCAAGCGGAGAATAGACATCCCGCTAATCTCAAACTATCGATGTCTTAGAAGCAGCCTCGGATACATGAGGTCTTATAGTTAGGCTCAACGATAGTGAGAAGCGAGAAATAAGCATCTCGCAAAGCCAGGGATAAATATTTGGCAAAGCGAGGAATAGACATCCCGCTAATCTCAAACTATCGGAGCCTTATAAGCGGCCTCAGATAGATGTGGTCTTATAGCTAGGCTCAACAATAGTGAGAAGCACAGAATAAGCATCTCGCGAAGCCAGGTATAAACGTCTGGCAAAGAAGGAAATAAACATCTCGCTAATCTCAAACTATTGTAGTCTTATAATCGGCCTTGGATCGATGAGGTCTTACAGCTAGGTTCGATGATAGTAAGAAGTGCGGAATAAGCATCTCGCGAAGTCAGGGATAAATATCTGGCAAAGCTGGGAATATACATCCCGTTAATCTCAAACTATTGGAGTCTTATAAATGGCCTCGGATAAATGAGGTCTTACAGCTAGGCTCGACAATAGTGAGAAGTGAGGAATAAGCATCTCGCGAAGCTAGGGATAAACATCTAGCAAAGCGGTGAATAGACATCCCGCTAATCTCAAACTATCGGAGTCTTATAAACGGCCTCAGATAGACGAGGTCTTATTGTTAGGCTCGACGATAGTGAGAAGCGCGAAATAAGCTTCTTGCGAAGCCAGGGATAAACATCTGGCAAAGCGGGGAATAAACATCCTGCTACTCTCAAATTATCGAAGTCTTATAAGCGACCTCGAATAGATTATGTCTTACATCTAGGCTCGATGATAGTGAGAAATGATGAATAAACATCTCGCGAAGTCAGGGATAAAAATTTGGCAAAGCGGAGAATAAACATCCTACTAATCTCAAACTATCGGAGTCTTATAAGCGGCCTCGGATAGATGAGGTCTTATAGCTAGGCTCGACGATAATGAAAAGCGAGGAATAAGCATTTCACGAAGCCAGGGATAAATATCCCGCTAATCTCAAACTATCGGAGCCTTATGCTTAGCCTCAGATAAATGAGGTCTTACAGCTAAGCTTAACGATAGTGAAATGCAAGGAATAAGCATCTCGTGAAACCAAAGATAAACATCTGGCAAAGCAGAGAATAAACATCCCGCTAATCTCAAACTATCGGGTCTTATAAGCGGCCTCGGATGGATAAAGTGAGAGGTGAAGAATATACATCTTGTGAAGCCAGGGATAAACATTTGGCGAAACGGGGAATGGAGATCCCATGAATAACTCTCAAACTATCGAAGTCTTATAAGCGGCCTAGGACAAATGAGGTCTTATAGCCAAGCTCAACGATAGTTCAAGAGATGAGGAATAATCTCGCTGAGTCAGGATTGGCTCCTTTTTAAGGGCAAACACGTCTGGGCAATTTGCCTCTTCCTTTATTCAAGGAACGAGGACTTCAAGAATATTGTCCCTTTCTTTATTCAAGGAACGAGATCTCCAAAAATATACCTCTTCCTTTATTCAAGGAACGAAGTCTCCAAAATGATGCTTTGATGATAAGATATTCACGAGCTAAGGCTCGCCTTCTATAAATAGGAAAACCATAAGCTCGGCTCGTCGTCAATAAATAAGGAATTCATGAGCTAGGGCTCATCTTGAGCAATTTCGATGATGAATGAAGCCTTCAAAGATGCAAGATCTTATAATTTGCCTCGAATAATAGACATGATAGTCAAAAGTGCCTTTGGATGAGAGCGATCAAGACAACAAATTTTTACCAAATACATTGTGCGTGCCAACGGCCATTTCTAAGATATATGGGGCAAAGATTACTCATTTCCAGCAATTAAAATAAGCTCCATCATCATCCCCTTGAAATTTTGCATCCTCAAACTCCTTAGACAGGAATAAAAATGTGCAAAATATGGGTGTCCACATAGAGAGTACCAATAGATATTCACTAAAAGCCAAACCATCTTTACAAGTTAATGAGAATAAAGAAAAAAGCCATCAAATTCCAGTGACCATTTTAATTATTTTCTTCCATTTTGAATTTAGAACACTTATTGGGTAGTTTACATTTGGAGATAAAAAAAACTAGAACATTTATATCCCTTTTGCAAAAAATGTTGGCGATAAGCTGGGTTGCCCTTCAACTTGAAATATAGCATTGACAAATAGGCCTATTTTCAAACAAAATCTACAAGGCCAAGTATCATATTGCAAGAGCCCAAGAAAAAGATGGCACTAGGAATTTTAAGTATAAAATGAGCTCTTTGTATTGGATAAAATTGGGGTCCAGAGGCCCAATGAAAAAAAATCCTGGGCCCAATAATTTTTGATTTACCAAGAAGCCATGGGGTATTTAGAAAATAAATACCAAAGCCCAATTCTAAACTACCTGAAAGCTTAATTGGAAGTCCAAATTGGTCAATTTTTTTATTGACAATTAGCTTTTGACCACAACATAAAGCAAGTAAAAATACCTACACTAGCTTACTTTAATTGCCTGCAAGAAAGAGTTACCAGGAGGAGCTTGTCACTGTCAAATTAAATGCTGAATCAATGGACCAAAGCTTTCATGGACCGTCAGTCACTACTGTGCTGCCGGATGTTATCTCTTGTGCCAGTGGTTGCCCAAATGGCCTTTGTTGGAGACTAAGAAATCTCATTTCCTTAGATTTATGCTTAAAATGCTACGAAATGTTTCCAATTTGATAGACACGAAAGGCTGTCTTCTCTCTCTGCATTCTCATGGTTGATTCTTCAATTTGATGTTGGAAATTTTTTTTCAAGATCTTCTTTCAATTTTTCCACAAATAGATTCTTGTGTAGCCCCTTTATTT